TGCCTCTTCCTATGGGCTCTCCTCGCTGAGTCAGATAGGGAGACACAGAGTTCTGATGGCAGTCTCTGGGCTCCCGGACTCCCAACAGCTTTGTCAACCCTTGCACCGACTGCAGGGCAGTCTAGGACGCTTGCACCCAACCTCCTTTCCCTCTCTCCTTCACTCGAGGTCAGATTTATGTTGAGGTCTGATGACTCTCCCATTTTTCCCTGGCTCCCTGCCTATTTCCTTTCCCACAGGCATTTCCCCTAATAAAACCCTTGCACATTTCATCTCATCTTGGCATTTGGCATCTGCTTCTGGGAGGATCCAGACTTAACACCAAGCTGTGACTTTGTTCTGACAGACAGCTAACTTACTTGTCAAATCAGCTTGGAGATTCTGAGGCTTGTTTTCAGGCTTAGGTGGGCCAGACCTCAGATAGCTTTTTCTTCTAGGATTAGTTTGGCCCTGAAACTAAGGAGTTTCCTTTCTGGAGTTTCTGATTAAATGCCCTGAAGTTCAGCAAGGACTCTCCACTCTGGCTGGCTGGATCATGAATATCCCCCAGCCCTTTGTGAACTCTGGAATTATTCATCTTATAGCTTCCTGTTTTTTGTTTTGTTTTCTGGCTAACTTTGTGACATTTTATCCTATGCATGTGCAGCTAAGTATGCAGTAACTGACTCAAGGGACTCCTGTGCAAATTTCTCTGTACAACTACCTGATACTCTGATACTCTGCCGTATTCATACTAGACACCTCAGTCTCTTCAAACTCCAGGCTAGACAGCCGGGATAATTACAGGTGTTATGTCATTCGTGTCCCTTCTCTCAGAGAGGAATCACAAGCCTATACTGATTTTTGTTTAATATCTGAATACAGTTGCTTCATAAACCTTACTCAATTTTCTAGTTGATTACCATAAGAGGGCAGTTACCACAGGAGGGCAAGGCTGGTTCCAGTTGCTTTATCATTTTTGGAAGTGGAATCCCAGCACCAGCAACACCCTTAGACCTGGGCAAGTAGAGCTCTCTCTCTGGCTTGTTCCTTAGAGGGTCCTGTGCTTTGGAAGACCTTTTTAGAACTTTTCAAGTCCTGTCTGCCCCTGCTGCCTGAGACCAGCTGAGGCCACTAGCGCCATCCTGTGGGAGTGTCCCAAACCCAGACCAGGACCTTTGTGGGCTCTGGACCCTATTTCTCCCCTGCTGGATGCTCTCTAACCCTTACCTTGAGCATGGGCTTGACCGGAGCCCTGAGGAGCTCCAATGCAGGCATGTGGCTTGACTGGTGCATTGTTTCCTGTGCCTGATGTGGTATTTCTTTTGCAAGATTACATGACGTTGGGCTGCCAGAAAGTGCCGATATGCTGATTTTGGATGACTCTAACCCACATGAGACACAGTATAAGTTCAGTTCTCTGGTCTACCACTGCCCCACCAATGACCCTTAGGCTTTATCCATGTATGTGGGCCCATGCATCAGTTCTCACATTTATATTCCAACTAGTCTACAGCACCAAAGCGGACAGCAGGGGAATAGCACATGTCCTTTATCCTTTGTGCCCGTGTTATGGGCACCCAGGGCAGTCTCCTCACCCCATCCCCAAGCTCTGTGCCATGTGCCAGGTAGTTTTCCATTGGTGGCTGCATCTATTTCCTCCAAGCACTTTTGAGACTATTGTTCTGCAGTGCCAATGGGCACTTTTCTGGGTATGTTCAGGAGGTGGAAAAGTAAGTCATGCATAATAGATCCATTCCAATATTTCTATAAGCAGGAGCTTTTTGATTCCTTCCACTACAGCAGCAGTTCTCAACATTAAAATCACTTGGGAAATTTTAAAAAATACCAATGCTTTGGTCTGTCATACAGAGTGAAGTAAGTCAGATTGAGAAAAACAAATACTGTATGCTAACGCATATATATATGGAATCTAGAAGAATGGTACTGATGAACCTAGTGGCAGGGCAGGAATAAAGACACAGATGTAGAGAACGGACTTGAGGACACAGGGGAGGAAGGGGAGGCTGGGACGAAGTGAGAGAGTGGCATGGACATATATACACTACCAAACGTAAAATAGGTAACTAATGGGAAGCAGCCACATAGCACAGGGAGATCAGCTCGGTGCTTTGTGACCACCTAGAGGGGTGGGATAGGGATTGTGGGAAGGAGGCTCAAGAGGGAGGGGATATGGGAATGTATGTATACATATAGCTGATTCACTTTGTTATACAGCAGAAACTAACACAACACTGTAAAGCAACTATACTCCAATAAAGATGTAAAAAAAAAAAAACCCAACGCTTTGGCCCCACCCCAGACTAATTACAGCAAAATTTCTGGGCATGGGGCTTCAGCATCTTTGTTTGGAAAACTAAGGTGATTCTAATGTACAGCCAGGGCTGAATCTGCTGCTCTCATTCTGGCATATCAGGCTCATTGACTCTAGGCTACTGCTGAGTTTAAGTTTCAATTAATTCTAATCCAGATCTTCAAGAAACATATTAAATATGAAGTTTTCGATGAGAGCATCAGTATCATTAAATTTAACCTGATTCAATCTTATGTTTGATCTAACACCCTTAGAATCCATTCCCATATATGCTCCCCAGACTTCGGCTGATACAAAATAGAAAGATCCTACATGTGTAAGCCTTCCTGGAGAAGACCTGGCATCTCTTTGTCTGGGCTATTTTAGGATCTCATTTTGAGCCTGGAGGCAATGAGAAGTGGATGGGTGAGGTCTGCAAATAAGTATCCCTTTTCAAGGCAAATGCTCCAGATGAGGCAGAAAGGTTTTTCTGAAGGAGAGATGGTTTCCTCAGAGTAGAGAGCTGCTTCTACTGGTAAAGGAGGTTCTGTGAGAACTGCTGATTTGAAGTTCTCAGCTTTGTCTCTCCAAATAGCCCCATCCTATCTCAGCATCTCACTCCTTTCCAGTGTCTTTACCTTAGCATTAGAGACCTGGTAGTGTTACATATTTAACTGGCATTGCAACTCTGGGCCTAATCCAATCTATGTTGGTCTTGCAGCTAGATGAGATAAGGGCTTTCTTTAAGGTAACCATAAGATTTTCTGACTGTCCACTTATACTTTGAGATGGGAGTTTAGATTCTTAATCTTTTTTTCTGAGGCATGGGGAAGGAGCTCTCTTTAGGACAGTCAGAAGAAGCCATAGTAATCCACAATCCTCATAATCACCATTGTCACCATAATAGCTAACTCCTATAGCCACTCCATCTCCCAGTGCCTTGCTTCCTACCTGTAATTCATCCTATGCCACCTTCGATGAGAATTTGAGTAAGCATTGTCCCCACAAGGAGGATATTCATGTGCTCTTCAAATATGTGAGCTGCCCAATCCCATAGTCACATCTTGAGAATCTATTTCCGGGAACAATTCCTGACATAAGTATTGTATCAGGTCCCAAAACAAAACAGATCGCACAATCCATGGGTTTAACTGGCATTTAACAAAGGGGCTGTTTCTGGAGGTATGGACAAGATTAAGGGAAGCAATAACGAATCATCACACATCCAAGAACTAGCAACCATGAGAAATCATTACCACACTTAGACCTGAAAGGACAAGAGGAAATGGTTTAGCCAGAGCCTAGGAAAGCTAGAGCTGTGAAAGAGAGCCACTCAACAGGAGTTGGGCTGTAGTGGAGCCCTTGCCAGACTCATAGTGCTGAAGTACAGAAGGAGGAAGAAGAAATACTTCAACTTCTCTCTCTTTTTGCCTTTTGATCTCCTGATGAAGCCTCCCATTGGTCAAACCCAATTGTACTCAAAGGTCAAGAGAGGCTGGCTGATGCTATTAGTAGAGATCAGCTCCCCAGGGCAAAGATTGGATTAGATGATGAGGAACTGAGAATAATTAGCCCAAGATACCAATCTCTTGCCAAAAATCTGCTACAGGAGCAGACCTTTATGAAATCTCTGTTGATCTTAGCCTTTGCTACTTACGAATTTATCTTTGGCTACTGAGGGGGTGCTCCCAGGATATGGAGATTAAAAAAAAAAAACAACATAGTGTTCCTGATCTTATTTTGATATTGTCAGTCCATGGGAAAGCTTCTCAATGAGGTAGTAATAGAACCAGGAAGGGAAGTGAAATTATCCAGCTCCTAGCCTGCTGTTCAGTTCTCTACCTGAATTCCAGAACTTGCCCTGTTTTTCTTTTGTATGGTTTTCCTGGTTTACACAAATGGTGAAGCTGCACCTAATGCCAATAAGGGTCTTCTGGCTGAGTGAGATGCCAGTTATATGTCAGTGCTCAGTAAAACTCCTGCCTCCTCAAGGCATAGTAAGTGGGGTGGAGTGGTAATTTTAGAGAAGACACTGGAAAATTGAAGATGCAATTGGCAGGTCTGAGATCCATTTTTTTTTTTTAACATCTTTATTGGAGTATAATTGCTTTACAATGGTGTGTTAGTTTCTGCTTTATAACAAAGTGAATCAGCTATACGTATACATATATCCCCATATCTCTTCCCTCTTGTGTCTCCCTCCCTATCCCACCCCTCTAGGTGGTCACAAAGCACCAAGCTGACTGAGATCCATTTTTGGGTGAACTTCATTTCTTTCCTACGGCTCATAAACTGTGTGACAAATAATAACCACTCTGAGAGTGCTTTCTGTGCATCCTTAGATAAAAATAGTGTTTGGCAATACGTAACATTTTCCCTGAGGTTTAGCTTTGTGATAGCTTCCTCCTTATAAGTATTTTATTTAAATCTTGAGGCAAGAATGACTATACTAAACTTTTTTTTTCAAGTATGGAAAAGACTGGTAATTGTCTTCCAATGTCCATTCTTTCTTTCTTCCTTTTAGTATTAGAAAGCATCCCATAGAATGTTAGAGACAAATCTAGTTTTCCTTAGAGCCAGATATGGCCATGTGATTTCCTTTTCATTGGAATATGGACAAAAAAGACATGTGCAACACATCTGCATAAACTTCCTAAATAAAAACACTTGCTCCTCCACTTTCTGCCTTTTCCCTAACTGGGGCCAGGGTGCAGTTGAAGTGCTGGTGAGGCAGTTTTGAACATGTGGACAAAGACCGCCTCCCTGGGGGATGGATGATGTCACAGAAGAGAACCACCTGCCTATCTTGGAACCTCCACTTACCACTGGGCTATAATGTGAAGAAATAAATTTCTGTTTTGCTGCAGCCACTGCTTTTTTGGATCCATTTGTTATAGCAGCTTAGCCTAAACCTTAACTAATAATGCATCAAGGCTTATTTCAAAGTCATACATGACAATTGACTGTTTTGTGCAAATTTGTCTGAGAAGCTCTCCTGTAATCCCTAACTTCCCATCTAAATAAACAGATGACCAAATAAAATATTTTATTGAAAATCAGATTTTGTATTAATTTTATGTGCTTAAATGGATACTGAAAAAAGAAATGAACATATATTTTAATATGTGTTTTTTTGGTATTATTTCTAGGATGATTTTCTCATTCATGTGTTTTGCTTCCTCTCCTTTTTTTAAATCACTATTTCCCACACTGGTTGCACACCAGATTGTGTGCAAGATACGACAGAGAAAACACTCATGACTTTATCCTCTTCTTCTTTACAGTTGTTCTCAATTATTCTATGTGAATTGTCAAAGTCAGGAAGTATATTTTCCAATTTAGGAAAGAGAGTTGGTTTATACACTGTTGATCTTCATTTTAAACACATTAACTTAGTGAATGTGATTAAAATATAATATGCAATGTGACAGAGTAGGAGAAGTAAAATTCTTGGGAACTAATAATTTGAACCCCATTACTCATTGTTCAAACACTTATTGAACATATAATGCTGTGAGGGTGTGGACTCAGTGTTTCATTAACACTCAAGCCATGATTTCTAGGGGAAATGCCTTTAATGAATTGAAGGGAGGAGAGTGATTTGCACATTTCTTGTATAAAATGATAAGTGATGGAGTAAAGGCTTCTGTAAAACAGCATCTCAGGAGAGCTCCTGATGCGTTCTCCCCCAGCCTGTCACTAAAATACCTAGTCAGCTTTGAAAAGGATTTTTAAAAACCACCAAAAATTAGGAGTAACAACTATTGATAGCATTGGAGGAGTTTCTAGTTACAACTAGTTCCATGCAGTCAGAAACAGGGCAAACCTGCCTGACTGGAAATACACAGGAAGCCCTCTGCCCTGCCCCTGCCTGAATATCCATGTGCAAAAAGAATGAAATTGGAATCTTACACCATTAAAAAAAAAAGAACCCTCAAAATGAATCAAAGACCTAAACAGAAGAGCTAAAAACGTAAAACTCATTGAAGAAAACATTGGAGAAAGTCTTTATGACATTGGGTTTAACAGTGAGTTGAGGAAGGTATCCAGGGAATGACATGCTGCATCGGAGGTGGTATTATTGCCACAGATAAAGCATTTTAAGTGGGGATAGAGACATGAGACAGCAAAGCCCTTGGGCATTAGAGTTTCCTGAATCGATATTCAGTGTCAGAGAACTGGATCATGGGGCTGGTGGTAGTAGGGGCAGGGAGTGGAGACTTGACTTCAGCCAGGTGGTTCCCTGTATCAGACCCACTCTCACCATCTACGGGTGTATAGGACTCTCGATTTCACTCTCTATCTACTTGGACAAATTTCTTTCTCAGTACTAAGCCTGGATACTATCCTGGTCCAAGTCCCAAGACTGGATAGATTTTTCCTTTTGTGCAGCTATATTGTGGGGGGAAACACTTGATAAATTCTCCAAGAACTAAAGAGAAAAATGACTTAAGATAAAAATAAAGAGAAAGAGCACAATAGATAAAGAAGAAAAAATGACAGTGATTCAAGCTAAGAATTATGGATGCTTCTGATGAAGGGAAAAAAAACAATTGAAACAAAAGAAACAAGAATTGAAAACATAAGTCTATAAAACTTTCTTAAAGAGAAAAAACTGATTACAAATCTCAAAAGAATAACAATACTCTAAATTTTTAAAAAAACCTGTGAAAGAGGTTTGCTCTTAAATATATCCTAGCAATAATTTTTGAATTATGAAGATAAAGAAAAAAATCCTATATGTATCCTGACAGAAGCATAATAGAATTTCAAACAGGACATTTTCTATAGTGTGTTAGTTTGGGTCTTCCAAGAAGCAGACTCCAAGATGGAATTAGATATGGAAAGGATTTACTGGGGGAAATGACTGTAAAAAGAAAAGGGCAGGGAGCCAGAGGAGGTAGGGAGAGCCTTCAGACTGTGATGCTGGTCTGACCTCTTTGTAGGAGGAAGGGAAGAGAAGAGGGCTGGAGAAGAAGCGTCCCAGACTGCAGTGCCATGTTAAGAAAACGTCTGGCAGACCAATGAGAAGCCCTCCAGCCAAAATTGCCTATCAGCAGAGTCCTTCACAAGACTTTCATTCATGTCCCTGCCATGCTTGTCATTCATTGGCTGGGAACAGCCTACAGGGTGCATGGCCTCAGTGTTAACACTGTGGTAGACTCAGAGCAGCACCTGAGTCTGTCAGTCACTTGCACTCACTGAAGGGGGAGATGGGACTGATGTACATTTTCAGGGCCACCGAATGCAATCAGCCACAACCCTACGCCTGAAGACCACAGATGATAAGTATCAACAATCTAAAAGTTTATTAGGCACATATAAGCAAGATTTAGTAAAGACAACAAAAGAAGTCTAGAGACTTCTACCCCCACCAGGCTCTATAAGAGAAGGGTACAATTTGAAATTGAAAGTTGAAATCATTTATTGATCCATGGGCTACCTAATGGATGTTACATTAGCAGGCATGAAAACAACATGAATTGCATCATACACCTCCACCAAAGCTCTTGGTGTGACCAGGCTCATTGTCAATGAACAGTCATATTTTGAAAGGAAACTTTTTTTCTGAGAAGTAGGTCTTTATTTTAGTGGGCTTAAAAATTCAGTAAACCCTGGCTTTGTTGTTTCTGTGTTGCTGAGCACAAGCAGAGTAGACTTAGCATAATTCTTAAGGGCCCTAGGATTTTTGAAGTTGTTAATAAACATTAGCTTCAACTTCAAGTCACTAGCTGCAAGGGAGTCAGACTGTCCTTTGAAGCTTTGAAGTCAGGCATTGACTTCTCCTCTCTAGCTATGAAAGTCCTAGATGACAACTTCTTCCAACAGAAGGCTGTTTCATCTACATTGAAAATCTGTTGATAATGTGTAGCCACCTTCATTCATTATCTTATAGCTAGATCTTCTGGATACCTTGCTTCAGCTTCTACATCAGCACTTGCTGCTTCACCTTGCACTTTGATGTTATGGAGACAGCTTCTGTCCTTAAATCTCATGAACCAAACTCTGCTAGCTTCAAATTTTTCTTCTGCAGCTGCCTCATCTCTGTCAGTTTTCGTAGAATTGAAGAGAGTTAGAACCTTGCCCTGGATTGGGCTTTGGCTTGAGGGAATGTTGTGATCTTCTTTCCAGACTCCTAAAACTTTCTCCATGTCAGCAATCAGGCTATTTCGCTTTCTAATCATTCATGTGTTCACTGGATTAGTACTTTTAATTTCCTTCAAGAACTTTTTCTTTGCATTCAGAACTGGCTGTTTGGTGCAAGAGGTCTGGCTTTTGGCCTATCTTGGCTTTCGACATGCTTTCTTCACTAGGCTTAATCATTTCTAGCTTTTGATTTAAAGTGAGAGATGTGCGATTTTTCCTTTCACTTGAACACTTAGAGGCCATTGTAGGGTTATTAATTGGCCTAATTTCAATATTGTTGTGTCTCAGGGAACAGGGAGGCCTGAGGGACGGGAGAGAGGGGAACGGCTAGTCAGGGGGGTGGTCAGAAGACACACAACATTTATTGGTTAAGTTCACCTTCTTATGTGTATATGGTTCTTGGTGCCCCCAAACAATTAACAACCGTAACATCAAAGACAACTGATCACAGTTCACCATAGCAAATATAATAATAATGAAAAAGTTTGAAATATTGAGAGAATTACCAAAATGTGACATAGAGACACAAAGTGAACAAATACTGTTGGGAAAATGGCACCAATAGATTTGCTTGATGCAAGGTTGCCACAAAAATTCAATCTGTAAAAAATACAGTATCTGTGAAGTGTAATAAAGCAAAGTGCAATAAAACAAGGTATGCTTGGGCTTCCCTGGTGGCACAGTGGTTGAGAGTCCACCTGCCGATGCAGGGGACACAGGTTCATGCCCCGGTCCGGGAAGATCCCACATGCTGTGGAGCAGCTAGGCCCGTGAGCCATGGCCGCTGAGCCTGCGCGTCCGGAGCCTGTGCTCCGCAACGGGAGAGGCCACAACAGTGAGAGGCCCGCATACCGCAAAAAAAAAACCAAACAAACAAAAAAACAAGGTATGCTTGTAGTCTTTTACTCCAGCATAATATTCATTTTTCAAAAGGATTCATATTTTTTCCCTAGCAGTTCATTTGTTAAATTTGCAAAGTAACAGGTATAATTACAAACACTCATGGACTAAAACACCCAGAGAGTGACAATAAGTTTTAAGCTAATGTTGCCTGCATAGTCTTGGATTTTAATAAGTAATAGCTCTTGATCACTATCAATAATAAAATCTTACTATTACGCTTAGTTTTATAGTACTATGTGTTTTTATTGTGGTGAGATATACAAAATGTTATCTTTATCTTTTTAACTATTTGTAAGTGTATAATTCAGTGGCATTAAATATATTCACAGTGTTATATAATCATAACCATTATCTACACTTAAAACTTTTCATCATCCCTAGCAAAAGCTTTGTACCCAGTAAACAATACCTCTTCTCCCCCTCACCCCAACCCCTGGTAACCTCTAATTTATTTTCTGTCTCTGTGTATTTGCCTCTTCCAGGTACCTCATATAACTGCATACCATCATACAATATTTATCCTTTTGTGTCTGACTTATTTCACTAAGCATGATGTTTTCCAAGTCCACTTATGTTGTAGCATACATCAAAATTTCAATCCTTTCTATGACAATAATATTCCATTGTATGTATATACAATGTTTTGTTTATATATTCATCTGTTGATGGACATTTGGGTTTTTTCCACCTTTTGGCTATTGTGAATAATGTTGCTACAAACATTGGTATATGAATGTCTTTTTGATTCCCTGTTTTCTATTTTTATGGATATATACTTAGGAGTGGAATTTACTTGGTCATATGGTAGTTCTATGTCTACTCTTTTGAGAAACCACCAAAATGTTTTCTACAGAGCATCATTTTACATTCCCTCCAGCAATGCATGAGGGTTCCAATTTCTCCACATCCTTGTCCACACTTTTTGTTTTTCATTTTTGTTTTTGATTTTTATTATAGTTATCCTAGCAGATATGAAGTAGTGTCTTATTTTGGTTTTGATTTGCATTTC